TAAATTGATCCATGGTGCAGAGGGTCTTGATAAAGCCTATGGGCATGTCTAGACAAAACAGAGGTCCTAATTTGAAGTGGTGGATTTTTAAACCCATCATTTAAATTTAGGGCCCTTCAAACCTGTGTCGTGCACACACCCCGCACTTACCTGCCTCTCTGGTGGCAGGGAGGGGAGGGCGAGCTGCCAACAAGCGGAGTGGTCCCTGGGCTGCAGGGGCAAGGGGCCTAATGCTTCCCTCCACAGCAGCAGCGGCCCCCACCCCAGGCGGCACCCGCCTGCAGGGACCCGGCTCAGGCAGTCCCGGGAGGCACCGCAGCTGTGGGGGGAAGCACCAGGCCCCCGCACAGGACATGCAGGAAGGCTTCAGGGGGCGGGGAGGAAATCAGGCTCTTGCTTTTCTTGGATGGAGCCTGCTTTCCCGGGCTGCTGGCAGGCTGCCTGAAGGGCTCCCTGCGGAGCCACAGAGCTGCATGGAGTCCAGTGCTTCACTACACGGCTGTAGGGGCAGCAACTAAAACTCCTTGGAGGAGTTTTAGTTTGCTGCACCACAAGTCATTTAAGGCGTATTACACTGCCAAATTTCCTACAGCGGCTGGAATTAATGTGCAATACGTCGCTGAGGTGTGCAAACACCGACACCATTAAAGCAGTGCAAAAGCATTTAGCCCGCTTTAAAGTGTCATGCACACACGCCCCTCATTTCATCTACACACGGCCTTGGGCACAACTTACTGACCACATAAAGGTGATATCATAGGTCATCAAACAGAAGTATGTCGTGGCATCCTTCATTTGGAAGTTTGGCTCTTATATCACTTAAGAAATTTTGAAAATTTTAGGAATAAGTTTTCATAGATACTCAGGCACCTAAAGATGGAATTTTCAAAAGCATGTATCAAAGCAAGCTAACTCCCATGGATTTCAAACACTTTTGAAAATCTGCCCTAAAGTAACTTGCCCAGAGTTGAGCAAAAAAATCAGTAACAGAATAAGAAGGTCTTCCTACTTTCTACGCTTGGGAGACATTCTGGCCCCAGTGAAGTCACCTGGAGTTTAATCAGGCAGCTTGAGTTCAAAGAGGAAGAGGATCACTCTGTCTCTAGTAAAGCAAATTAAATAGTAATTAAGTTTTTCTTCCCTGTGTTATATGTCAACTGCCTGACCACTTACAATTATATTACATCTAAGATCGATCCTCATAGCATGGATCTACCATCAGCCAATCAGCTCGCTCCCAAATTACTCTCTATTTTATAAAGTAGACATAGATGTTAACATGCAGAAATTTGATATAAGCATTGTTTTCCCCAGAAAGCACAATGGAAAGCTGGCATATGTGGAGGTTACCAAAAATTTAATCTAGTTGAGGCAGGATTTGTTATTTTTAAATACCGTTGGCTCTCATGTAAAGACTATTGTTAAATATAAATCAGCAGAGAACTAATGTTAGTTGGAGTCTTCCTTTAGCAAAAGTTTTAGTGCTTTTTGGCGCTTCATCGAAAGGCTGAAAAAGATCACATGTCTTAGGCTCCCCTGTTTGGCCTGTTCAGAATATGCATCAAAAATATTTAGGATGAAAACCAAGTGTGAAACAAAATCCTCTAATCAATAAGATATTTTGTAAAACACTAGATGTGTAAGTGACAGAAAGCCCTAGCAAACATTTAAACTTCTTCAGAGTGTTTAGAATTTGTATTATAATGGCAAGGAGGAATTTGCCTATATAATATAAAATTTATGCTAAATCTTTTAGGCATTTTTCAAAATATATGTTTTACACAAGTGCCACATATGTAAATGAACACCAAACACTACAAAGGTTAAACAACATGGTTCTATTAAAAACTATCTTCAACCATGGCACTCAGTGACAGCAATACAATACTTTCTTCACAAAGCAACTAATATAAAAATATGCCATAAATTCATTTATAGACTAGTATTCTGATACATACATGTAATTATAACATTCTTTATATAAATTCTTTCCTGAGATATTTTGAGTCGTTCGATTTTGATGTATTACTGGATGCTTTATCTTTAAGGTTTGCTTTAAAATACCTGTAAAATATTTGGTATGTGTAGGATGCTAGCAGTAACACAGAAGTAGCAATAAATGCAATTAAATGACACTGGAACAGCCTTGAGAAATGTTGCTTTTAACCATGTTACACACATTTTATCCTTTGACTCCTCTGAGGGGGAAAAATTTGAAGGTACAACTAAGAATTGACAAAATGCTGGAAAAGCATTTTAGGAATGTTAGAAGTTGGAGTATAAGATAAATGACACAGAAAAAGCCATAATTCTTGTTGGCTATGTATTGCCTTAAAAAGCAACTGGACATGTTTTAGTCAGTTCACAGTATAATAAATACTAATCTGTTTTGGAAGAGCAAATGTCTTTTAGGGTTTCAAGCTCTTCAATAAGTTTCTTGTTCTGAACTTCTAGCACTGCAACACGACTCTCCAGACATTTTATGTATTCTTTCTTCCGACGTCGACATTCTTTAGCAGCTTCCCTGCAAAAAGCAGAAGTAAAAGGTGCAAACAAAAAGGCTATTTGCATGCTATAAGAAAATGTAAATTGAAGAACGCTCAGCAGAATATGGAGACTATGAATGAATTCCAATTTTTGGAACATCTCCCCTGTTACATCTGAAAGCAGTAGGCAAAAACTGTGTTCACAAGGGTCACAAGTGTCCCTTCCTCAAGTTTACATGGCAATACGTAGAATTGCTTCCTCTCATGCCTTGATTAAAGTTCATAGAAACAAGGTCCAAATCAAAGACAGTTATTCTGCTTTATGGCAATAAAGATCTTTGAGGGCCTTGAGTTCCTCAATGAGAGTCTTGTTTTGGTTTTCAAGCACAGCCACACGATTTTCAAGACATTTGACATACTCCTTCTTCTTTCTGCGACATTCCCGGGCAGCTTCCCTGGAACCAACACAAGGCAAATAACTACAGGTACAACCACGCTCCAGCCAAAACTGGATAAACACAATTACCTACAATCCCTAAAATTCCACAGTAAATCACTCTTTGGACAAACAAATAACTAAACAATGATCTTAGACAGCTACGTCATTGAACAGCCAACCTGAACCCACAAAAACAGCCTGTTAATTAACGCAATTTGCTTGGCATCCACAATATGATGAATGAGTTGTTATACAGATGAACTGAGACAAACACAATGAGGACAACGATCAGCTGTTAACAAGCTGCCTTCAACTGTACAAAATGCCATGGCTAAATGCCTTCATTTCTGAAAATGGGATTTTCTGTTCCCATCACAACCCATTTTGTGTGTTTCTGCAGGTATTTAGAGCATCACCTTCTGCAATCAAAACACTTAACAACAATGTTAAAGAAAATACAGGTGTGTTCCCTTGCAAAAATATAGGTGTAGCAGCATTCTCTCTTCAGATTAAAATCTAGGTATCTGGTTTAAAAAACTACTGCAACTCTGACCTTTTCACACAATTATGATCAGGACTAGTCAAAATGGCATAATCTTTTTTCTTTTAAAATTGTTCATTTGCACCCATTTACTCCCCAATTTCTACTTTTTTTCTAAAATACAAGCAGCCATGAATGGCTACATCATAATTCTGCTACTCAAAAGTTAAACAGTTTGGGTAAGATTTTTCAAATGTATGTGATTGAATTGGGCACCAAATTCCACAGACACACAAATTTAAGACCTTTTTAAAATTTAATCCCCTTAGCATTTACAAAATTTCTATAAATTGGCATCAAATTTTCTGCATGCTGTACATAAGAGGGTGGTAGCTCTAGTATTGCAACTGAAGAGAGAAGACGTGAAAGAAGAGAAAGCATAAGAAAATGCAACAATCCTCAAGAGTGACTTAAAACAAAGACAGGCATGAGAGCAAAGCAATTCCATGAATGGAATGAGACAGCATTCAGTATGTTAGTGAACTACAAAGCAGACCATTTCTTCATAAATGCATGCTTCTAGTTTTCAGCAAGTTTAACAACTGCTATGCAAGTGCATAGGCAAGAAAATAAACCCCGAACAACAGTCAAAAGAATGCAAGAAGAAAGCGCTGTAGGTTTGTTTATTCTGCACATCAGACAGACTTTATGCCAAGAAATTAAAAAATATAGACAATCTACCAAATGTCACACAATTCTGTTTTACTCAGTTTTCCTAAAGTAGATTTGCTTTTGCAATAATGTCTCTCCATCAGTATATTATTAGGTAACAGAACCTGCAACAATCATTTCACACTACAATAAAAATCTCAGACACTGCACGCTTGTTAGTATGACAGGTACTTTGTTACACATGAGTCTCTCCCCAGTTTTTTTCCAGCCAAAGCTACCCAGTAAATAGTTTCAGGATCACCAAACTTCCTTTATTTTTTATGAATGTACTGTTCACTGCTATTCACTACCTAGTTCTATTGGTAAGAGCACTATCTCTGGATATTTCTGCAAAAAAGATCAATCATGAACTCATTACTATACATATTTAAATTCTCATAATTATGATTTGGGTTTCAATATCTATGGAGATCAGTAGGACTGCTCTTTCACCTGAGTGCTATTAGGTTACACTCTCTGTAGGCACAGGAAGACAACACTGCATTGATTTCTAATCTGCTCATTATAAAGGTTATTTTAACACTGCATTGATTTCTAATCTGCTCATTATCTAGGTTATTTCCCCAGCCACAAGGTTTTGGGTGAGGGTTCAGATTTTGTAATGCTCTTTTTTTTTTTTTTTTTTTTTGGAAAAAGTGTGCTCCTCACCACTCAGTAGAATATTTAGGATTTAGTCAATTAATGGTCATTATTCAATCAGTGCTATATACAGATCTATTTGCTGCTGTGCATTTAACAGCAAAGACTTCTCTGTTCTTTCTTCAGTTATCATGGAGGACTCATGACCTTAACAACATTTTATTTTAATACCTTACTTTTTCCAGCAATCACTAATCATTGTGTTACAGTTAAATAACCATACCTATTTTTCATGAGTCTTAGCTCTCTTTTGCGTGTTGCCTCCTCTGCTAGCTGCTGAGGGCTGTGCAATGTTCCCGGTGATGCTGCCATTACCACTCCTTGAGGCAAGGCAGTGGTAGGAGTTCGGATCTGATAAGCTGGCATGTCTCCAGTAGCAGCTGTATACACATATATACAAAAGAAAGGTTTTACATTATACAAAAACATGTCTGTTAGTATCTAACTGAAACAAGAGATTTCTTATGATATATTATCTAGTTCTCTATTATCTCAAATATTCAGCAGGCCCGTGAGGTCAAAAGACACCAAAGCTAACAAATACAACTAGATTCTAATGTCTCTGTTACAATATACGAGTTATAAAACAGATTTTTAAACCAGTTTTTATGGTTTTAACTTGGAACTGGGTCTCCCCAGTGGCCTCTATTCTCTGATATTTCATTAATTTCTAAGAGGCTATTTTTCTATCTTTTAGAATACCTAAACTTTCAAATACTATTTACAAGGAAAATCATGCAAGTCTAATACGTACAACGTGTGTCACATTTAAAATTAATATAAAAATATTGACTCTCATGCATAAAAAAATAAGAGTAAGTTCTTTACTGTTCACATCTTAATATTTTCCATACTACTTCAGAACAGAGAACTTAACTTTCCTTGGCCCTGAAAATTAACACACAGAATCAAACTGCAGTTGCTGTCATCTTATGTGAAATTTGCACTGCCTTTTTTTTAACGTAGTTCCAGTAACAAAGGGAAGATTCAATTAAACTCAGAAAAGTGTTAAAACAAAATAACAACATATATTAAGAAAATTAATATACACAAACTCGCACCATTTTGGAGAGGTGAGAAGGTAGGAAAAGGGTAAAATCAATTAAATAAATTAGCTTTCTTATGGTCTTCTTTCACAGTTTCATGCCAACTGACCCTAAAGCAATATCCCAAGATTACATGAAATGGGACAAAAATAGATTTAAAATATTATCTTCCTCTTCAAATCAGAAGATGGCCTTCTAAGAAAGGTACCAGACTAAAATGGCTATATGGGTTCAGGTCTTGATCTTTCTGTGTAATCATGGACATTTACCTTCTGACTGAGCAAAATATCTCACTTTATAAGTAGCCCCACTTAAGTTAGTAGGACTGTCTCACAGTTGACTAGTTGTAAAATGAAAGTATACTAATTCTTTAATTTCACCCCTTGCTGGCCATGTCTATTCAGAGCATGAACTCTTTGGGACAGGTCTTTCATTGGGTGTGAATTCATAGTTTCATAGTTTTAGGGTCGGAAGGGACCTAATAGATCTTCTAGCCCGACCCCCCACCAGGGCGGGAGAACAACAAAAGAACCCTAAACAAAAAAACGGGACTCAAATGAGTCCAGCCAGGTAGGTATCCAGCCTCTTCTTAAAGATCCCCAGGGTAGGGGCCAGCACCACCTCCCTTGGAAGTTGGTTCCAGCTCCTAGCCGCCCTAACTGTGAAGTAGTAGTAATTCAGCAGAGAGAGATGATTTTATCTATAAATCATAGATTTTGTCTATGAAATCTTCAATTAACACAAACTGCTAATGAAGACAAGTCAGTTTGTAGGTCAAATTAAAGACTATGGAGTTTAATTTGATCCCAGAGCTTAATTTGATCTGCAAAATAAAATAAATATTACAAACTGCCTTGCTTTGAATAAGGGTTTAATTCATGTTGGCTAATGTGAATTAAAAACAAAATTTTATATATATCACAGAACTTGCAAAACTGTACCTTCTCCTTACAAGAGCATATAGATACTACTATAAATCAAATACATAACACTAATAAGGTCACCATAACATAGAGCTCATTTTAAGATCCAAAATCATGGCATGAGAGGAAAACAACTGGTTCGTCAAGCAACAGAAAAATCTTCTGGCACAGTAAAAGCTTCAAAATGTTTGTCACATTATAATATAAAACATGATTGTGCTGTAGTCTCTTCAGTGTTCTTTAAAACAGGTCAAATAACATTTCATTTGAGCTTTAATTATTTCTAAACCAGTCTCTAACTATTTTTATGATGTCTACAAAAGCTGAAATACCACAAAGGAAAATGGTGTTTTCCTTTAAAGATGAGATGCTATAAGTAGAAATATGTGGTAAGTATGTCCACCTATTTGACTATTTTTATTATTTACTGTTCCTTTAATGTACTAATACTCAACCAGAGTACTGCAGCACCCTGGGGTGCCTTGAGATCCTTCCATCAGATTCTCTCTTGAATACTCCAGCACCAACATTTCCTTTCTAGACACTATGATCAATATCCAGAATGGTAAAATACAAACCACCATAGACAAGAGACCCACGGATCAACATACATATCTGCACAGAACCAGCAATCACCCTAAACACACCAAGAAAGCTGTAATATATAGCCAAGCCTTCTAATACCCCCGAATTTGCACTGAAAAGAATACCCACGATTCACAGATTCATAGATTCTAGGGTTGGAAGGGACCTCAATAGATCATCGAGTCCGACCCCCTGCATAGGCAG